TGATAAATTTTTAAGGGGAATGAAAACAACTTCATTTTCAATAGCATATAAGAGAATAAAATACTTAGGAATATATAACCTGGGACCCTGGGACATGAAGGATTTATATACTGAAAACAATAAAACTCTGCTGGAAAACATTAAAGAAAACTACATCTTACATTTACTAATATTCATCTGTATATGGAATGACAAAAAGCTAAAAGTTTTGAAAGAGAAAAATACACACTTCCCAATTTTAAAGAACACCATACAGATAGAGTAATTAAAATAGTCAGTACTGGTATAATAATAGACACACAGATCAATGACATAAAACTGAGAGTCCAGAAACAACCCCACACATCTATGGTCAACTGCATTTTGACAAGGGTGTTAAGTCCATTGAATGGAGAAAGAAGAGTCTCCCCCAAAAATGGTGCTGGGGAAATCAGATTTCCACATGTAGAAAATGAAACAGGATCGATGTCTCAGGCCATATACAAAACCAAATTAAAAACGGAGTAAAGACCTAATTGTACAAACTAAAACCATAGTATTTTTAGAAAAACAAGCAATGATGCTCAGCGACATTAGCTATTAGAGAAAATGAAAATTAAAACTACAGTGAAATACCATTTCACTCCCACTAAGATGGCTAAGGAGTTGTGGCCCTGAAGGATTATGCACTAGACCACAGGTAAGTTTGAACTGCAAGGTTTATGGTTCAAACTCATCAGCCTCTCCTCAGAAACCCTGTACAAAGTTGCTATGAGACGGAACTGCTCGACAGCACTTAACAACAACAACAACAAGATGGTAAAGGTGAAAACAATACAAACAAAAAATAAACACCAGAAAATAGCATTCTTTTGGCAAGGAAGTGGGGGAAGTTAGAACCTTTATCCATTGCAGGTGGGAATGCAAAATGGTACAGATGTGGAAAACAGTGTGGTTTTTCCTCAAAAAACTAAAAATGTGGCCAAGCAATCGCACTCCTAGTCTTGAAATCTCCCCCAAAAGACTTGAAAGCAGAGACTCAAAAAGAGATTTGGTTACCAATATTCACTATTCCCAATAATTAAGGGGTAGACATGACTTAAATACCCATCAACAGATGAATGGATCATCTAAATCACAAACATACGATAAAATACTACTTAGGAGCAGAAACGAAGTTTTGATACATGCTGCAGACACGGATAGAGCTTGAAGCCAATCATGAGTGGACAAATACTGCATGACTGAGAACAGGAAAATAGAGACCAAAGTTTACTGTGGCTACCAGGGCAGGTGGGAAGGGGGAAGAGGAGTTTAGCGGTGATGAAAAAAAAAATGCATTAATTAAGGGTAGAATCGCACCACTGATTATTGTAACTGCTGACAATAAACTTACACCTATAAAAACTGAATTTACAAAAGTTGTGTGATAAATATATTTATAACAATTACCCTTCCCACCCAAAAGTAGCTGCTGTTACTGCTTATACATAAGCAAGCATATAACCAAGCATTCATGGGATCTGGTTCCTTGGTTTGGAGATTTAGGGTCATGGTTTCATAGGACGTTCTAGTTAATTGACCTAGTAGTGTGTTTAGTACTTCTGTTTTACCCCCTAGCTCAATGTATAGATCCTGGGGTCTTAAAAGCTTGCAAGCAGCCATCCAAGGTACAAGTGGTCTCTATCCATCTGGAGCAACAGAGGAAGGAGAGTCAGGAAAAAAGAATGCATGACTAATTGTTTCTATGGGCTACTGTCTTCTTTGCCAGGAGACCAGAAGAACTGGATGGGGTCTGGCTATCATGACTGAACATTTGTATCAAATTCTCCATAGAAGAATCCTGATCAAAAGGGAGAAAATGCAGAAGAGAATTTCAAATTCTCCTAGACTCTAAACTTTCTGGGAGTCACAGAAAGAGAGTGGCTGAATCTCTGAAACTAATGTCCTGAGATAATTTTCAACCTTTCACTAAAAATAGTCCCTGAAATCATCATAAAGCAACAAAAAGTACTTTAGCTTAACTAATAAAAAAAAAAGGTCTGCCTTCATTTATGATGTTTTAAGAACTGTCTGGAGTCCTGGTGTGGCATTGAACTGCTAAAATCCAGGTTAATAATCAAACTCAGTCGTCACTTCTCAGAAACCCTCTACAAGGTCACAAAGAGTCAGACCTGACTGGATAGCACTTAACAACAACTGCAAAAATTATCTTTATGGGACCAAATTGACAACAGCAACTCAAAAGATGAGATAGGAACCTTAGGGGCCAATGGTTTTATATTAATGGGGAGGAACTACTTAACAACGGAGGGTGAGAATGGGTGCATCACTTAAAGAATCTAATCAATGTCATTAAAAGGTACATGTAGATTCACAGCAAGGATCATTCCCACTCTCTGTACACAGGGTTAATTGGAATGGGCAACTTAGACATTGGCTACCTACAATGAGGGAGGTGGGGGCTATAAAGGCATGAAGTGACTGGCTTGTAAGTTTTCAGGAGGGAGCTTTGTTTCAGAGGGTGCGGGGGAAGGTAGACTCTCCGCTGAGTGGTTTCCAACCTATCTAGATGGGTTGGTGAAAGGAGATGGGGATAAGACTCTTGTGGTTCAATAGTGAGTAATTGTTATCAGGACTGATTGTGATTGTGGCAAATGTAAAGGTAGACATTTTATAATAAAAGGAGGGGAGTGGTTGACCTTGCAGTCCAGGGGTAAAGGACCCTGGGACCATCAAAGGAAAAGAGCAGGAGTGGAGTGTGAGACCCTGTTCAGAAAAGCAGCGATGCCAGAGATGGAGGCAGAGATGATAACATGGAGAGATGGAGCAGTTGGGGACTAGACGCTTGGAAGAAGAGGAGCTGTGTGCTGGCAGCTGGGGGCAGGCTTGCAGAGTATGCCCTTTGGTCGTTTGACTGATTATATATCTCTGAGTGTTTGGGTAGACATCAAACCCCCACCCCAAAATACCAGAGGGAATAGAAGCAAATACTGTTGAATGATGATGCATGGAGGAGATTGTAATCATTGCAATGAAACAAAATACAACAGGATGAGTGTAAAGCTGATATTCTCCCATGTAAACTATCACTTAATTCACAACAAAAACTAAAATAAAAATAAAAAAGAGGTACATGTAGAAATTGTGGGATTGGTGTATTCTTAATAACAACACAAAACAAAATTTAAGGTGGGAGGATCATTTGAATCAGAAGAAAGACAATCAAGCCATCAGTACTGGTCTTCTCACTGAAATAAATGTGTTTTCAAGCTCTAGTTGATAGGCCTGGGCTGAGCTTGCACACACAGATGTCTGCAGACAGGTAATATCAATGAACAAAGTAGTCAGATGAGGACCCAAAACTGAATGGCAGTAGCAGGTCACTGGGAGGCAGCCACAGTGCAGACTCAATTGATACTTGTCACACAGCCATGCTGGTCTTGGGATAGCAGATGTACTGAACATTAGGGGAAGACAGAAATCTGCATGTTCCTGGAAACATTCCTGATTTTAAGATTACAAGGTAATTTTCTAGAAACACTGAGAAAGCCCTTTCCTAAATGCCAAGTTGTTCAACCATATGGGGTTGTTCAACTCTGTGGTCCTGATTGGCTTGCAAACTTATTTTACAAAGGAGTCATTGCAATGATATGATTTCGGTTTTATCTTTCTGAACTCCCAGACTAAAAAGTTATCTTTGCAAAATGTGCAAAATTGTTGCATACATAAAATGAACACTTTTCAATAGGAACCTATTGTTCTCAATATTTTCTAGCCATTACGCTCCTGCAAAGTCCTAGAGGTACAGTGGCTTGATGCTTAGCAGCTAAACTGAAGGCCAGTGGTTTAAACCCACCAGCTGTTCTGCAGGAGAAAGATGAGGCAGTCTGCTTCCATAAAGATTGTTGTTGTTAAGTGCTATTGACTGGATTTGAACTTCTGACCTTGTGGTTTGCAGTTCAGTGCTGATCATACAGTGCCACAGTCTTGGAACCCTATGGGGCAATTCTACTCTGTTCTGCATGGTCTCTATGAGTTGGCGCAACTCAAGGCAATGGGCTTAAGACCTGCACTCTGGCTTTAGTCTTCAGTTTTACCAAACAAAGCCGCCCAGATGGCATCCCTCTCCTAATCGTTTCCTCCTATACTAATGTGTTGGCCAACACCATGTAACAGAAATGACTACATGTGAGCATTCTTACCTGAAGCCTGTTACGGTCACTGATTTGAAGCCTAATAAAATGCTGTAACCTTTCAAGAACTGGAAAATAAAATGAGACAAGTGTCAAGTATCATGAAATGACATGAGAGAAATACCAAAAGATTTAAAACGGTGTAAAAACTCATATTCCTTATTATCCTGGATAAAAGGTACAAGTATTTCAACAGCCCTAGCTACAATAGATTTTTGAAGAAGTAATTTCTAAATACCCATGTCAGCCTGAGTCCTGTGGGAAGCAGACACAAGATTAAATGTGTACAAAATCTATTCAGAGTAGACTAGGAAGTAAAAGAAAGAAAACAGGGAAGGAACCGGAAAGGTATTTATTAGCCTTGAATAAAAGAGAAGGAGAAGGAGGGTTGAATGACAGCATCCTAGACTGAGCCTGGGAAGGTTTCGTAAGTTCCTCAGGGGTAGACACATTCCTTATGTCTGATAGACACCGACCTGCCAGCCTCATTCACTGGCGGTGAGCAGCAGACACTAACGTGAATTTCAGAAGCAACAGCTGGGTCCTTTGGTCAAATTGCATCTCCTGTAGTTGGAAGTCTGCCTGGGAGCAGCATCCTCATGGCTCCCACGTGACCAGATCACTCCCTTCACGTATTGCAGCAATGCTTGGGCCAATATCATTTATATATATATTTTTACTTTACTTTGTTTCTCTGAATGCCGACCCCACAAGTGACTCTATTTGATTCAAGTCACATTCACTGTGCAGTTATAATACACAAAGCACAATGCCAGGAACTTGGGTGGGTAGGCGCCAAAGTTTATATGTAATATTCCCTTCTCCCCAAATCTGTGTAACTCTGTGTTTAAGGGAGGGTTGTATGCAGTGCAGAAGTGTTGCATGCCAGATACCCAAATCAGATGCCCAAGGGCTCACGGAATAGGATTATATCTGTGTGGTCTATTGGACAGGTAGCAGACCACCTACAGCTTGAGTCAGGGTCTTAGCTATAAAAAGAGGCCATTATCTCAGTTTACTGGGACAAATCTATACCACACCACGTAGAAAACTCTATCCCAAATGAGTTATCTCAAGGAACACATTTAGGTTTAGATGAATTAGTACAACATCTCTGGTAGCATAGTGGTTACGAATCGGGCTGTGAGTCTCAAGGTCAGCAGTTCAAAACTACCAGCTGCTCCGCGGGAGAAAGCTGAGGCTTTCTGCTCCCGTAAAGATTTACAGCCTCAGAAACCCTGTACAGGGTCGCTATGAGTCGGAACCGACTCGACGGCACTTAACAACAACAACAACAAAACACTTAGAACAGTATCTGGTCCACAGTCAGCACTCTAAAAATATTATCTAATTTTACATTAATAAATTTAAGTCTGTCTTGAGTGAGACTGGAATCCCTAGATGAGATAAACAGTGAATGTATGCAACTATTAACTAAATATTTGGAGGTTCAAGTCCACCCAGAGTTGCCTCCAAAGAAAGGCTTAGCAATGTACATCTAAAAAGTCAAGTCATTGGGAACCCTATAGAAACAGTTTTACTGTGACACACATAGGACCACCATGAATTGGGGTCAACTCAATGACAACTGGTTAAGTGCAAATACTTACTGGGTTTGGTATATAGGCCTAGAGACCTACATATGCAGTTTTTTGGTGCCCTGTATACTCAGTCTCTACTTGTCTGCCTGAAAGATGTTATAGATCTTTTCATCTGGTATCTGAAGACAAAAATGAATGCACCTACTGATTCTTCTATACAAACTCTTTGGGCCTCTGATGGGTCTCAGTGTTTGGTGCCACCAAATCTTATCTGAATCAGTTCTCCCATGAGAAGAAGTTCCACCTATATAGGTCAAAGTGATATCAAACTGCTCGCTGAACACTGTTAGATGTGAGCCCTTCCTAAGTTACTTTCCCAGTTTTCTAGGAATTATTTCAACATCTATATTCATAAATTCTGACAGATCTAAGCAATAGTTTGTAAATTGTCCACTCTGAATGAAATAGATTCAGCTCAGCCTAAAGAGTTTGCTGGTTAAGGGGTGCCAGTGGCCAGAACATACTGCCATTTCCAAGTCGGTCTTGTAGGATCTATAGAGGGCGGAAGAAGAGTTCTTGAGATCTTCTGGAAAGTCCACATTGAGTCTGACTGACATCCTCAGGGTAACATCTGATGAAAAACATGGGGCAATATTTAAAAACCTTGTGTTAGTGCCTGAGGACACAAAGTATCAAAAAGCATTTGCTTGAGCAGATGTCAAATAGCCATCCTACAAACTTTTTATGAGCAGTTACTTACCTTTCTGGAGCTGGCAAAAAGGTCCCTTAGGAGGCAGCTGTTTAAGGCAGTTACAATGGCGTCCTGAGAGGGAGCTGTCATGCCCATGACAAGTGAGATTGTGGAGACACTGTTCCTGAGGCCACTCATAGCCTGCTTCACATGAGCACCAGACTTCATTTCCAGCAGGTCTGCATACTATCACCAGGCAGAATGATGAGGAGACAGAAGGTGGTAATGACCTTAGTATTTATAGACTAAGTATCTATTATCTATGGAGGCCCTGAGTGATGCAAACGATTAAGCACTTGGCTTCTAACCAAAAGACTGGCAGTTCAAATCCACCTAGAGGCATCTTGGAAGAAACGATTGAAGATCTATTTCTGAAAAGCCAGTTATTGAAAACCCTATGGTATACAGTTCTGCTCTGACACATATGGAGTCACCATGAACCAGAATCAAGTCAATGGCATTTGGTTTGGTTTATCTATACTTAGGAAATGCTAACTCTGCTTCATTATTGCCCTTCTAAGAAGTTTAATATGACTGCACAAGATACATATGATTCTGTCCATACCCATCACCATGCTATTAGGTATCACCATCTAAAAGATAACTTACAACCTTCCCAGCAGACATCTGTGATGATAAATATGATAGAGTTTCTGGAACAAAAAGTGTATTACCGTCAGACTCCAAAAGGGCCCCTGCTGTTTGTTCCCTGACAATGGATATCCCTGCCCTTTTGCAGTTCCTCCTTACAGTTGGTCCACATAATCAATAGAATATGGCAGGAGTGATGGTGTGTGATTTTTGAGATTAAGTTATCAAAGGCCCTGGAGCTCCCTCTTGGTTGTGCTGTCTCTTTCTCTCTCTCTCTCATCACTAGCTCTGGGGAAGCCAGCTGCCATGTGAAGAGGACATTCGGGCATTCTGTGAAGAAGATCACATGGTGAACTGAGGTCTGCAGCCAATAGCTTGTGAAGAAAGGCAGCAGGCCAGCTACCACATGACAGAGTTTGGAGCGAGTCTTCCCACACCTGCAAAGCCTTCAGATGTCAACTGAAATACAACCTCATGAGAGATCCTGAGTCATAACTATCCAGCTAAACTACTCTCAAATCCTTGAGATTCAGAAACCATGACACAGAAAATGTTAGTTGTTTTAAGTGGTAAAGTTTTGGGGTAATTTGTTATGCAGAAATAGATAACAAAGTAAAGTTAATGAACTCTAACCCCCAAATTACTGTTAGGGGTGGCATTGGAGTCAAAGAACTAAAAAAACAGGAGGAAACTTTGCCTATTCTTTGAAAAAGTGTCTGGAAAACAGACTGCTTTGCACTTGTTGCTATTAAGTGCCATCGAGTCAGTTCTGACCCATAGTGACCCTGTACAGGTTTTCCAAGGCTGTAAATCTTTACGGGAGCAGAAAGCATCATCTTTCTCCCGTGGAGCGGCTGGTAGTTTTGAACTGCTGACCTTAAGGTTTGCAGCCCGATTCATAACCACTACACTACCAGAGCTTTGCACTTATAGCATTGGAAATCCTATAGAGCCGCTCTACGCTGTCCTATTGGGTTGCTGTGAGTACGAATTTGACTCGGCAGCAATGTGTTTGGTCTTTTGGGATCATGTTCTTTAAGTCTAATTTTCATCACCCACACTTTCCATCGCCTTCCCTTTGAGGCCAACTCTTCCTAGGCATTTGCTGCTACAGAGGACCATGAGGTTCAGATCCTTTTTCCTGCATGGAGCATCCTTTTTGCTACAACTTTTTCTCAGTTACCCATCAGAGAGGATTCACCCCCAATGTGTGAGTGCCCAGTTTTTCTGGATGAATCCAATGTCTCAAAGGCATTTGCATTTCAAAAAAGAAACCTGTTACCCCAAGTTTCTCAAATGTAGCTAAATAGTGGGCCCCCCTTGAAGTCTTGAGCAAAACAAACCAGGAGGAGTTCGTTAATGTCTATATTGACTATATGTTATAAAAGCTCTCACACTTTATAATCTCAAATGCTCATAATCACAAACTGTTCTACTGAAAACAAACAATTTACTCATCTGGTACTTGCTGGTCTGTTTTGTTTGTCAAGTTTGCTTCCTAGAACCCAAGCAGACACTGAACATTTTGTTTGTCAGGTTTGCTTTCTAGAACCCAAGCAGACACTGATCATTTCTAAACAAAAACTAGAAACAAAACAAAGTGGAATAAAAACCTATTTACTGAACTGTCAATCATTCGAAATCAAAGGGCAACATGGAGCTGAGGGCAAAGGTGAGAAGGGATGGGAATGTGGGTGGAATGGAATTAGGAACTGCTGGGAGGAAGCAGGATGACTGTTGTTCCATGAGAAGATTGCAATCATTGATATGAAACAAAGTGTACGATTTGTTGGATGTAAAACTGATGATCTTGTCTGTAAACCTTCACTTAATTCACAATAAAAAGTTAGAAGAATGAGAAAAAAAAATCCTATTTGCTAATTGTATTTTTTCTTTTAAGGGAAATAATTATAGACAGAAGACCCATGCTGGGCATGAACATGGAGGACTGTTTCCTATGCATGTTCCAAAGTATACTTGTTCTTGTTGATGTTAAGTATCGTGGAGACGGTTCCAACTCACAGCGACCCTGTATAGAGCTGGTGAGGCTGAATTGCTGACCTTGAGATTCGAACCGACCTTGTAGTCCAGCGTATTAACCTGCAGCACCGCACCAGGACTATTTTTGTGACGTGTCCCTATGGGAAAAGGGTTCTGTGGACAGATACATTTGCTGGCAGAGGACCACCTTCCTCATTGGCATCAGATTGCAGATCCACCAGCTCAAGGGCATGCTTGCCAATTGTAGAATTTTGTGAGAAATGGCACATTTATAAGGGAGTTATACCAGATGCAAGTAACATATATCAGAAGCAATTTAGGATACATAGACTGTTTGAGACATGAGAATTCAAAAAGAATTTTAAAAACAAGAATGATTCTTGCTTCCATTTTTGAAGAATAAACCCTAACATCTGTTGTGTGACATGGAGTCTATTCCAATTTATCATAATCTGTCCTGGTGTGGCACTACAGGATAATGTGCTGGACCACAAGGTCAGTTTGAGCCGCAAGGTTGGAGGTTCAAACTCAACAGCCACTCCTTGGAAACCTTATACAGGGTCGCTAGGAGTCAGAACTGACTCAATGGCACTGAACAACAACAACATAGGTCAGCATAAAACTGCCTCTTAGGGTTTCCTAGACTGCAAATATTTATGGGAGTAATTGCTAAGTCTTGTCTCCTATGGAGTTGCTGGTCAATTCAAACCACTGACATTCCAGTAAGCAGCCAGGCACTGAATCATTATATTATTTTAGCATTTGTTAGTGCTTTCCAATTCATAAAGCACCTTTTTAACTTACACTGTATGGAGTTCTGGTATAGCATTATAGGATAAGCACTGGACCACAAAGTCAATTCGAACTGCAAGGTCAGTGGTTCAAACTCAGAACCAATTTGATGGTACTTAACAACAACAACAACATGTAGGACAAGGGGCAGACCTGTCTCACAGTTTCTGTGGGATACCAAGTAGCCAGGTAATGGACCTGACCAGGTCTCTGAGCCATAAGGGAACCAGCACGACTTTGAAAGGGAATCAGTGATCAGAAACTCTAATACCACAGTCTGGGAGGTTCTGCTTGATTCCTTGTTCATGCGTGTTCTTGGTTCTTAGTTCTTGATCTATGATGCCAGAAGGAAGAGAGCTTGCTACTTACTAATATCCTGAACAAATCTATGCTGTGTCCATCAATTTCCCAAGGGAAAAGTTTCCAGTGGTTTTTCTAGTGGGACCTGGCTGTATCTTGGGACCACTTTGTGAGAACCGTTATACAAACCACCAAGCAAACATTCAGTCACCATCCAAAATAAGGAAATCCTTCCTGAGAATCTTTGTTTTGGAAAGCTGTAAAGTCATAAAATCACACATCAGATCTTTGAGAGCATTTCATTCACTTATTAAGGATCCTTGGCTCTGACAATAAGGAGCGTAGACAGACTTTCTTCTGACATTCCCAATCATCAATCCTAAAGCAACAGGTATTTTACTCACCTGTTGTCACTGCGATGCTTAAAATGTTAGTAACTTGGTCAGTGTCGTTTCTTAGAACTGGAAAACTGAGGTTGTTCAAGTAAGCTTTGATAGGCTCCAGGAAGGATGCATTTTCAAAGCTTATCTCTATATCCACAGTATAGTCCTCAGCTTCAGGGCCATTTGTGGCAACTGAAATGAAAACACATGAAGGCTGTGAGAACTTAGTGTTGGGCATGGAACAAGAACACTTCAGCAGTTCAAGGTAGTGGCAGGCACATACAAGTGTGGGGCTCAACAGTTCTAGCCCTCAAGAATTTTAATGAACCCTTATAGAGACAAAGAAGTTAGTCTACTTGCCATCACCAATCCTGCCTCTTCAAGATACTTGCTTTCTGCAACTTGACTATTTCAAGAAGAGAAAGAGTGGATTTGTCTGGTCTCAGTTCAGTGGTTGTTGGCTATCTTAAAGATGCAGAAGCTAAGCAGAGGATGTGTCACTTTCCACCTCAACTCCTTGGTGTCCCAGGCCAAGGACCACTGTGTGGAGACTGGACTATAATGGAACAAGAATGGGAACAGGGAGACCTAGCAGGAAGGCTCTGAAAACAAGCCAGATAATAAATACCATGGTGTTACTTAACTTTGGAAATGCTAACTTAACAAGAATGCATCTCTGTGTCTCCAGCATTACTCAGTGGACGTACATATATTCTGAGAGCTAAGTACATGCCTGGTTTGCAGATCTGGAAAAGTCATCCAATCAATTATCTTTACTCTTAAATAGGCACAGAGTACCTAGTACTTTGTTCTTATTCTCTGTCTTCTGGGTCAGGAACATGAAAGGACCACCACAAAAGTTTGAGAACCTAGAACATTCCTTGCTTTTCCATATTGTTGACAAGCTGGTCTTCTAAACCCGCTCCCAACTGGCCTGGACTTATTGCCCTCTGTGCCTGAACACACGTTCACTACAGGCAAATCAACCACCTCACCCTCTTCTTTGGCGTGGTCTTTCCTTGTTCTTATCTGTACCACCCAGGTCTTAGCGTGTTCTTTCTGACTACTCTACCTCCCCTCCAGCTATCTCCCCATCCTCTGATCTAACTGAAATCCTGAACTTCAGACCAAGTCTAGCTCCATCATCATCAACTCCATGATGACATCATAGAATTTACAAAACACTTCCAGTAATGCTCTCTCACTTGATGCTCAATCACATTCCCAGCAAAGAGACAGGGAAGACAGAGCTATCCAGATGAGTAAACTGATGATCAGTTTAGGAAATTTTAATTTGCAGCTATTTAATTGCAATGTTTAGACCTAAATCCAAGACTTCTATTTCCGAAGGTATACTACCCTACTCAACTCTTCTGTGTTGTTTTCCCAGACCTGCTCATGCACACAATCCTATCCCCTAATTTCAGTGCTTGCAGATTTGGACGGTATCAAGTATGAATGCATCTATGAGGAGTCTTCAACAAGTTCATGGGAAACATGTAAATGAACTCTTCCACTTCCCACGAACTTTTTGAAGCTCCCTCATGTACAGGCAAGGAGCTTGCCCAATCAGTTCTTGTTAAACCTGTGACTCTCTTAATTGAGTGACAGGTTCGCCTCCTTGATGCCACCACAATCTCTGACTCAGTTCTGGTTGGAACACATTAACTAAAACACAATAGGCATTTTTCTTGTTGTTGTTTTTTATATGTTTTTTTTTTTTTTTTTTACACAGATACTTTGAGAATACAGACTGTGGCTTATTTCATTTTGTCAGTTAAATGAGAAAGAGACTAATGAATATTTGAAAAGGTATTACTGTAAAATTTAAGTCAAATCTAAAAGTAAGAGACACACTTTACTATAAAATTAAAATTACTCAGATATATCCACATACTAAATAGGCAAAGAAGTTGTCCACATTATTGAAAGATTTGTTTTAAATGTTCTAAGGGTTATAAAACCCTTAAAATAGAATCATTTAGTATGTTAATAGGTTAAATGTTTATAGCAAAAAGCTGTAATATTTGTTCACCCAGAGTTCTAAACTATGTTTTTCTTGTGCGGTTGGTTTTACACATTAACCTTGCTGTAATTATTTTTATTTTGGCATCCTTTAACTTGTTCTAGTGAACTCAAATTGTAGAAAAGATCTGTGCAGATTCTCCAAACATTGAGAATGCACTTTAGGACATATTTCCTAAATATTTACAGGTAGAATATAGTGACTTGTACAACCAATGTGGAACTTCAATGGGACAAGATATTATGGCAGTGATTCAAATTTCCTGTTTTCTTGCTGGCTTTTAAATCTTGCTGAAAACAAGCTTCCTGAAAGAACTGTTCATCTTAATTTGTGTAATCTGAACAGTACAGCACATTATGCTATCCTCTGGGAACATTTACAAGGAGAATGGTTGCATGATATATACAAGATCTGTCTTGGAGCGTGCTTTCCTGAAAAGTTAGTGCAGCATTGCTTTTATCCTCCCCAGAGGTTCCACTAGTTCTAGAATCTTATTGGCAGTGGCCAATTTACTCTTCACTCGTGGTTGTAAACAGGATTTCCTGGACGTTGTCTGCTTTTCAGATGAGCGAAGTGGGTAACAGGTCCTGCATCATCCACTACAATCATGGGGTCTGAGTGCCTGCCTGAAAGTTTTCTGTAGCTCAGCCCTGAGCCTGTTTTCCCGTTTTATAGTTGTGTTTCAGACACAACTATAGAACAAACGTGTGCCTGGAAAACACATGGTGACTCACGGGTATTGTCATTCCCCACTAAAACCAAGATGGTTCTGCTGAGATTTTGAAAAGAGCTGAACCAAAGGCTAAAAGTATTAATGGGAAAGGTTCCTGTGACCTTGGGGAGATCCGGTCTGTGGGATTCCTGCAAGTGTTAATTTAAGCATCAGCCTCTGAGATTTTCTTTCCTGTAGCCACCTTTATGCTCCACAATAGAGGTTTTTTTTGGTTTTTTCTTAAAGGATTTATTGTGAATTATGTGACAGTTTACATGGGAGAACATTAATTTTACATTCATTCTATCGTATATCGTCTCATTGCCATGGTTACAATCCCCCACAATAGAGTTTTAGAATAACTCTCAGGCTGAATGTCACCTCATCCTTTATTATTATTATTATTTGGTAAGTAAGTGCTGAGACCCATAAATATGGAGATCACCTAATAGGTAATATTTTCTACTCAGAAGCAGTCAGTTCTTCAAAGCAGGCTCAAAAACACCTTATTGTTGTTGTTGTTCAGTGCCATAGAGTCAGTACCAACCTTATGCAGAGCAGAATGAAACACTGCCCGATCCTGGGCCAACCTTACTATTGTTGCCATGCTTGAGTCCATCGATGCTGCTACTTGGGCAATCCATCTCTTTGGGGTTCTTCCTATTTTTATCTGACTCTCCACCTTACCAAACATGATATCCTTCTCCAGCAACTAGTCCCTCCTGACAATATGTCCAACATATGAGAGACGAAGTTTGGCCATCTTGGCCTCCAAGGAGCATTCTGGCTGCACTTCTTCCAACACAGATCTGTTGGTTCTTTTGGCAGCACATGGCACCTTCAATATTCTCCTCGAACACCTTAGAAACTCAAATTTTAAAAAAGAAACTCAAATATTTAGAATACTTGGCCTTCTAAATCATCTATTCTTGTGCTTTCTACACAGAACTGATAATTATATGCACCTAGGAAATTCTCAAGGAGGCCTGGTGGTGTAGTGGTTTCGTGTTGGGCTGCAAATCACCAGCTGAAAGAAGAGGCTTTCTGCTCACATTGAGATTTATAGCATCAGAAACCATATACAGGGTTGATATAAGTCAGAACAGACTCAATAGAACACAACCACTATTAACAACCAGGGACACCCATTTTGGAGACTCAACCAGGTAAACCAAAGTAGAATCTTTATGGCTTGGGATCATAAATTGATGGGGGTTTTTTGTTTGTTTGTTTGTTTGTTTTTGTATTTTATTTCCACTGGTCATGCAAATGATAAAGCAGGTTTGGGATCTGATCTTAAGAAACTGAGAAGGTAAGTGACTTCTTGAGAGCAGAGAGCGAAGATTAGCAAATATAATGGGTTGAACAGTGTCTCTCAGTTTATGTCTATGTGAAAGCTCAGAACAGTCTTATCTGGAATAAGGTGTCATGAAGGTTTTTGTTGTTAGGTATCATCAAGTCAATTTTGACTCAACAGCTGGTGAGTTTGAACCATCAACCTTGTGGTTGAAACCAACCTTGCGGTCCAGTGCTTTATCCCACAGTGCCATACCAGAAGGACCTTGAAATGAGATCATGCTGATTAGGAAGCACCCTAAAACCAATGACAAGAATCCTTATAAGAGATAGAAAAAGAGAGGCAGGAGGAAAAGACACATGAAGATGGAGGCAGTGATTGGAGTTTTGCTTCCAAATGTCAAGGAATGGCAGGAGCCACCAGCAACCAGGAAAGGCAAGGAAAGATTCTTTTCTAGAGTCTTGGGAGAGAGCATAGTTATGCTGACCCCTTGAGTGCCAACTTTGGGTCTCAAGAATTGTGAGAGAATCCATTTCCATTTGAACCCACCAAGTTTCCGGTCATGAATTGTGGCAGCCCTCTGGCACTAATACAATATTGAGCTTTGCTGTCTGTTTTTGTTTTGCTTTGTTCCACACACTTCCTGTTACAGCTTCTATGGGGTAATCGTCATGCAGTGTTCAGGCTTATTTGCATACCCACAATTTTCCTCATTTGCCTGGGGGAAGCAGATACTTGCTTTCCTCCCTCTCTGAGATACCAGATGGATGAGTGTGGATAATAATAAAAGTAACTATAATGACAGTAGCTGACATTTATTTCCCATCTATGAAGTCCTGGTGTAGCGCTTTAGAATAAGCACTGAGCTGCTAAGGTTGGTGGTTCAAACCCACCAGCCACTTCTCAGAAATCTTACACAGGGATGCTATGAGTTGGAACCAACTCAACAGCACTTAACAACAACACTAGGCTTTAGGGCCATGTGAGCAATAAGTTTATTCCCATTTTACAGATGACAAAACTGAAGTGCAAAGAATCGGAGCCACATCCATAGCAAGTGTCAGAACTGAAATTTGAAATTTTTCTGATTTCAAAGTCCATGTGTTTCCCTTCATACACTTCTGCCATGCAAATGGGAGAAGACAATGAATATGACA